TTTCTTTGGTATGCATAATTATAGATTGCAAAAGAAAATGGCCTTTGGCGGTGCACTGAAGGCAATAACCAGTATACTGGAGTGATGGAGGTAGTTCAGGGTATGGTTGAAGAGATTGATAAATCCATACAAATTAAACCGCATAGTGTCGATGTATTATTGAGTGAGTGGATGGGGTACTGCCTACTTTATGAGACAATGCTGAGCTCAGTGCTGTTTGCCAGAGATAAATGGTTGAAGCCTGGGGGTGCCATCCTCCCTGACACAGCGAGTATTGTGAGTTCTTAAATCTTTTTTCCCCTCAACTGCTCGTCAGATGTTGATTAGGGGTTTATAGTCCGAGCTCATTTTCATCTCCTTTACTGACTTCTTCAGTATGCTGCTGGATTTGGAAGAGGTGGCACTAGTCTTCCTTTCTGGGAAGAGGTGTATGGTTTCAATATGTCTTGTGTTGGCAAGGAACTTGTTCGGGATGCTGCTAAATTTCCTATTGTTGATGTTGTGGATGAGAAGGATTTGGTGACTGATGCTGTGCTTCTCCAGGTTAGTTATATACTTTATATTTCTACAGTTGCTTATCTAGATCTGTGACTTAGTGTATGTGATTCTCAATATTGCATTGCCAGGGATGAAGCCATCTTTGCAAACAGTTGTAAGATTTTTTATACCTGTGAATTTTTATGGTAGAAAATACAGAGCTCCTGCTTGTCCTTATGGGAAGGTCATGGTGATGAGGAGTCAATAATCAGCAATTGTAGCTAATGGATGATAGCCAAATTATGACTCATTCTAAAAACTATTGAATCTGGTGTTGGTTTTGTTGAACTTTTCTGAACCTTTGTTTTGTATTCAAGTCACAAAACATCCCAAAAAGTTGTCTTTTCCCTCAATTTCTCAAGTTAATGGCACTTTATACAACGTTTAACATACTTTGAATCTTAAGAACTTTATGAATTTGGAAAGATGCCTGCACTCTAATTTTTCAAGTTGTCTGATCCTTTCCAAGGATAGTTCTGTAATTACTTGGGAGCTTGTCGCCCAGATTTATGTTGCATACTGTGTTTTGGCACAATAATTGCATAATGACTTTTCTTCTTCTTCAGACTTTTGATTTGGCAACCATGAAGCCTGATGAAGTGGATTTCACTGCAAGCATTGAGTTGGAACCAAAGTCCACTGAATCGACATCTAAAACAACCTGGTGCTATGGTGTTGTGTTGTGGTTTGATACTGGTTTTACCCCAAGGTTCTGCAAAGAAACTCCATCTGTTTTGTCTACATCACCATACACTCCAAAAACACATTGGTCCCAAACAATTTTCACCTTCCTTGAGCCAATAGCAATGGCACCAGGAAAACCCAATGTTGACAATTCTGCAGCTGTTGGCACAGATGCATGTCCTGCCTCAAGAATTCATCTACGCATCAGCATTGCCCGTGCTGTAGAACACCACCGCAGCATTGACATTTCAATTGAAACTTCTGGAGTTGACCTTGATGGACGGAAACGCTGTTGGCCAGTGCAGATGTTCAATCTATCTTAAGAACAACTTCAGTGGATCAAATTTTATATAACACTATCTAGCAAATCATTAGCTATCATGTCATGGCCAATGTGGATCAGTTTTGTTTCATCTGATCTGTTGTCCTGCGAAGAAATTTTGTGATGCCTATCTCAAGTGCCATTATGTCAATTGGCTCTAGGTTTTTTGTCAAGCATCCTTTACAGAATCTTAGCTGTTAAATTTATTTTGTTGTTTCATCCACCGTATGAAATGCTTTTTGCCATTCAACTTTGTCCTCCCCCACCCGGTCTCTAACACAGCTAAATAGCTATCAAACCTGGCTTTACAACCTGACAAGTTAACCTAGAAACTTGTTGATGAAGGCTTGATCCGAATCGTGTCTGTCCTTCAACTGGATTGACAATTCACTCGGGATCTCAAGCAACCTAGCAAGGTTTGAACTTATCTACCTAGCAAGGTCTGAACTTACCTGGTCAAATCGGATTCAGATACGACCTAGCTGTGTCTTCTTCTTTTTTGAATTTTATGTAAAATGGCATCTTAATTTTTTTCTTAGAATGATTTCATTTTAGGTTTTTTTAAGAAAAATGAAACTGAAAGAATGATGTTTTGAGATTGGTCCATCGTATGCGTTCTTATGCAAACAAAACCCTAATTCTAAGCAGAAATTACAAGAGTAAAGTGAGTGTTCTTACAAATGCTTCTGATTCAATCACCTGAACCAGCACTTTTACAATATCCCCGTCTATTATCTTTGATAGTAGGTGCATTGGTGGAAGTCAAAATTCATCAGCCATTCTTGTTTTCTTATGCCATGTTATCATTTTTGCTAATAGCAATATGCCAATATTTTTATGCCTCACAGCTTGAGAATGGTCAGTTGCTCACAATTCCTCCCTATCTAGTGAAAATACAAAGACATCATCTCCATCATTTGGAACAGTATTGAGCTGACCTGATACTTGGATGTAATGGGTTCGTTTGGGTTGGTGAACATCTCGAGGCCATGGACAGTACTGTAGAGGATCAACTAAACAATACAGAACAACAACAACTCACTAAATACAATACAACTTCCAAGGACATGTTGCAAGAGTTGAGGCAGAGCATTACGTCGGATAGCAAATGCTATCCATGTCTTGTCATCTTTAGGGTTTGGTCTAACTTTAGAAGTGATACTGGAGACTATCGACCTGAGCAGCGCACTAAATCTTGGAATAGATGAGATGCTAAGGTCAAAGTTACAGGTTTTGGATGCAGAGAGAGAAGCTGAATGGCGCAATTCGATGAGAAAATGGAAGGGATGACGCTCGCTGTCATTGTAAACCCAAGTTTTCCTAGAGTTATCTTTTTCATGGACTTCGAGAGTGAGGATGGGTTGCGCTGTAGAGAAAGATGATTTGTACAGTTAACAAAATCGTTGCTCACTTAGTAGATATTTTTATGAAGCAGGGCTAGACAAAAAAAAGAAGAAGAAGGATTTGGTTACTCCAAACCAACCTGTAGCTAATTTTTTTTTTTCTAATTTGAATGTTAGATCGTATTTAAAATTTCTCAAGAGATTTTTAAAGTTTATTTTGACAAAGGATCACTTTTTCAATCCATTCATAGTTCATATTTCCTTAAATTAAGCCTTGGAGATGTTGTTGAATTCAATATATATATACAATTTTCTTTGAATATTAGATATTACAAAAAATAGATAACACTAACAAAAGGGTTTGGTTCAAAGACTGTTGATGGATCAGAATGGCAAAAGCGTGGAGAGTAGAGGCCATACGGAGCTTAGCTTTTACTCATTTGGTTCCTATGGGCAAAACAGCATGGAAGGATTGGCAGAAGAGATGCAGTTTCAAGCAGAGGAAACTCTGGCTATGCTAAGGACAAAAATGAGTTGCTGCAAACAAAAAGGTGTGCAAGGAGACATGCTAAGGAGGACTGGCAGCACATAAAGGCCCGTCTGTTAAATAGAGTTGGCATGTGTTCAAACTCGAGGAACTGTTGAGAGTTAACTTTCTTGCATCAGTGGATGGTTGTAGTGATAGTACTAAATTGAGAGCTTCACATAGACAATGTGTAGAACAAAATTGCTTCTTGCTAGCTGAAAATTCTATCACGAGATCTTCTGCGAATTCCAACTCCCAGGGAGTCCAAGCCGAACAGAATGAATGATGTCCCTAACAAGATATTCCTCAACAGCAGCTGTTGCGCGATGGTTTCTGCATTTCTTTCAGGTATGGGGTAGTTAGGCTTAGTTGCATACTTAAATTCCTTTATCTACATAAGTAGAAGTTTGCAACGAGCTCAAAATTATGCTGTACGTAGAAGGCACTGAATTCTAGGCAAAGAGCTTCTGTCATTAGCACCTCTGGAATTCCTCAAGTCAAAAAACAAACTATGTAGCTTCTCAACCGCCTTCAGATATGGATATTAATGCAGAAATGGGAAGTGGTGTCAGAGTCAGAGAATCCAATGAAACTGCAACACCCTCCACATCCCTTCCAATTCAATGAAACGGAGCTTGGGAGACAGCATAATTTAACCTACGAGAAACTTAAATAACAATGAACTAAACTGAACCAGTTCGAGAGAAACAACTACTGAAGTTAGCAGTGCCAAAATCTACAACGCCATATCTGAACAATTTAACCATCTGTTCGATAAAATAGATTGCAAGGTAAAAGAGTGAGAGTGCACACACAAACATGCACAAACAAACCCTAGCCGTCTAGGTGGCTAGGATTATTACCTCGGGACTAAACAATTCACTAAATTACTGAAAGATCTACCAGTACAAAAACTTGAACATCTGGGCACCAAGAACTCAAAAGTTTAGGTAGAAAACGAAGCATAACAATAAAATAATTTTAGCCGTGCTAATTATTTCTATAAAGAGAACCGATTTTATGAGGCTATTAATTTGTCATCATATATGGACAACAAATGAACTACATTGGCAGTTCCTCTTCAGCATTAATCTTTGACATTCAACTACGATTCATATGGCAGGAACTTGGTTAATGATGCTTGACCCCTAGTCTCATTTGCTAATTGCACACCATACACACACAACAAGAGGAATACCAGAAAGCATTTTTCGGAAAAAATGCAGATTGAGACTTTTAAATCGGTGTTGATTTCAATCATCAAGGAACCAAATATTTGCCAAGACCAATGGCATCTGATCAAGGCTATCAAAAGAAAGATGGGCAGAGGTGCATCTAACCAGAGTGTCTAAACTCTGATGTATTTTATTACACTCCTGCCAAATTGTTGCAATGAATGATGACTTTTTTATTCAAAATTAAATTCATAACTGCCTTACTCCAAAAAAAAAAACAACCAATGTATTTGCTTACCAATACAGGGGAAAATGACAAAAGCCGGGATTCTACTTGAAGTCACTATATCCTCCCAACAGAGGAAACCTGGCCAAGGTTTTCCTAGAATCATGGAATAATTTGGCTACACTAATAAAACACATAGCCAGTATCGGCACATATAAAATGTAATCATTGGTTGCACAATTTGAAAATATAGCCACGGTAAAACTGGGATAAGCGAAGAAAAAATACCTCTTAATTGAGGAGCAAAGGAAAATCAATTTAGACAACCGGTACATATTATTACAATGCATTGCAGAAGTAAACTTAGTCCGCCATCAAGATTCCATCTTTTTTTCCTTGCTGCTACCACCATATATTTCCAATAAACCTGTCACCTTGTCTGCATATTTAGTAACATACTTTTCCAGGAAATCTCTATCACTAATGCGGGTTACTGCCCGCACAATCTTCTCATCTTCTTTAACCAGCTTCTTTGACACCAAAACCTTCAAAACATTATGCCTGGGACGAAGCCTTCCATCAACCGAATATGACAAATACTCGGGACATGTAATTATAGCTTGTGGTTCTAACTTTAAAGTATTCACAAAGAAATCTAACGATTTTCTGATTTTCTCCTCTGAGCATGCTAATAGATAAGGGTATCGTTTAAAAGCCACAATAATCTCCTCTTCACTCCATCCAAGGCTCTTCATAACCTCAATTTTCTTCCTCCAATTCGACTTACTTACGGATAACATTACCTTAGCAGCATGTAGAAACACAGGAGTCTTGGGTTCAACACCCAAATTCTTCAAAGCATTCACTGCATAAACCATCCTATCATGCTTAACCAGTATCACTCTTGCATGCAAACTTAATAGTTTTGCAACCCTATCAACATGCATTCCCTCTTTTATCAACAACTCAATATTTGGCTGCACAGCACCCTTGAAACTAAAAGACATTAAAAAAGGCGCACGCTTTAAGGCAACTACAATTCTGTCAGGATTGCCCAGAAATAACTTGAGAAGCTCAAAACATGGTTTAAGATGAGAATCTACAGCCGCTGACAAAATATTCGGATCGGAGGCGATAAGCTGAGGCAGAAGCTTACCCGTGAAACCATTTTTAACGAAGAAGTCGAATTTGGGCTTCAAAGTGTCGTCTACTCCGCTATGGAGGATTTTGGGTCGCTTTTCAATTAATTGGGAGATGTGGGAATCGTCAAATCCGTGAGATTTCAAGAAGAGGAGCACAGATTGTGGTTTTTGGAGCTTGTTTTGGTGGAGTTGGAGCTTGTGGGAAACTGAAAGGGCAGATTTTGAGGAAAGCCCACATGAATTCATGAGGAAATCAACATCAAATGATGATGAAGATGAAGCATTGGTGTTGGTGGTGGTCCTGGTGGGTGGAAGTAGAGAATCAGCAGATGATGTTTGGAGACATCGTTTTTGTACAAGAGAAAGCAGCAGCTGCAGGTTTTTCTTCCTAGTGGCCATTACTTTTACTAAAGAGCCAAAAATGCCTTTTAAAGAAAATGAATATTGGACAGACAAAGAAAGAAGGAAAACTGACTGGAGACTGAGGGGATTATCGCAGGTTTTAGGGTTCAGGGAAGAAAGGAGCAAAGCAGTTCGGCCCGATTCATGGCCTAGCTTAAAACCTGAATTATAGATTAAACGGCTAAATAAATTTAAAATTACATCATTTTTTTTTAAATAATAAAAACAATTTTAATTTTAATTTTTTAAAAGTTAAATTAAATTTTCACCGGATAACCTTGTTTAATTAGACAAACTCTCACTTATTATTATTATTATTTTAAATCCAATCCATACTAGATCTCTATTCAATTGGATAGACTAACCCTAGATTAAAAAAAAGAAGATAAAGCTCACAATATACTTCAAAATTTTCATATAAATATCAATTTTACACTCAAATTATTTTATAAATTAATTTTATTCTTAAACTATTTTGATTTTTTCATGAAAAACCTATGTTACAGTCGCTCAATTAAAACATTAAATTGTCTATTATATATATAAAAAAATATGACATTTATAGATTGAAAGATTAAGAATAAATGGAAAATTTTAATTAAGAACTTATAAAAGTTTGAAAATAAAATTAATAAAAAAATATTGAATGACAAAATTAAAGTTGAATTTAATCCTTTTGTTTTGGAATGACAGTGCTCCTTCAAGATGTCCCAGGAAAAAAAATGGATTCGATATTTTTCAATTAACTCGTGCTAATATTAACTATACCAGATTTAATAACACTGTTTTCTGCTCATCCTTCGAGTTGGATCTTGAGAAACAATTCAAGATAAGCGAGCCCTAAATCTTGAAGCCAGATTTTTATGTGGGCTGGGACTTTACAATATGCTATTAAGAATTACCCAGTTAGAGGTCCTGTCTGCCTAACCGTTACTAACAGCCAAAGATTCTTCCCGCCAAGACCCTCTCTATAAAGATTAACCAGCCTTGACCTTCCATCATTCTGAGATATCTGCTTTCTTCCTCTCTTCGTTGCTCTTTCAAGAAAATTTGTACTAGTTTCTTTATTTCATCTTCTGTGCTTCAAGCATGGATGGAAATAACAAGGTAAGAGCTTATTATTCTGATCGAGATCTCACCCTTCTCATGGAAAGAGGATCACAATTCTTCTCTCAAGGCTACTATGCTGATGCTACTAATTACTTCAGGCATGCTCGTGATGCCAGGTAAGGTTTCTTCTCTGTTCTTATTCTTTAGGTTTCTTCATGCCTTCCTTTTTAAGTTATTTTATGTATTTAGTATATCTGCTTGCTTAGTTGTAGTATTTGTTTTCTTGTTGTTTGTTTGCTGAGAAAGTGGGTGCTGCGCGTGAGATTGTGTGTCTTTTGGGTTCTTGTCCTTTAAGTTTCAACTTACCAAAATTTCTTGCATTGGTTAAACTAAGCTATTAACGGGGCAAAATTCTATGTGAATAGTCTGCTATGTGCGAACTCTTCTATTTATTGTTTGACCTTTCTTTATCCAGCATTCAAATTCATGGTGAATCTTCTTTAAAATGCGCCATTACCCGCTATAGCCATGGCCTTTCCTTGTTGTGCCAAGTTCCAGTTCCAGAAAATGATTCAATGGCTTTTCTACCAAAGGAAGTCGATTACTATGAAGGATCAGTACTTCCACTTCCTAGTTCTGCTTTCGGGACATATAGAGGTTAGTGCTTGCCCTTGTAAATATCATTTAGTTCTTACCTTCTCATGATCAATGTATTAAAAAGCACACACATCTATGTGCGCGCTTGCTTGCTTTAGTATAATCCGTTTTTCTGGTTCTTAAATTGATCCAAGTTCATGATCTCTTATTATAGACTCTGGACATCAAGTCTTAGTACTGCTCTCTCTGGTTATAGCGGCCAGCAATCTTTTCAAGTTTTTGTCAGATTTTCATTAGAGAGGTAGATGTAGCAAAAGCCCTCTATGAGTATAAAATTAATGAATTCTGAAGTATCAATTGAATGTAATTTGACAGGAAAGGATGAAGAGTCCTTGCATGTTCCAAACCTATCATAGAATTTTGTTAGAAAGTGCATGATGTCTCATCAGCTTACATTTTGTGGCTATTGAAGTTCAGTTAGGTAGATTTTTCCATTAAAAGAATCAGCAGCATAACTCCTCTGGTTATGTCAAATTTGTCTGGAAAAACTAACTCCTTAGGTTTATGTTCTTGTTCATGATCAAAGGAGTAATGGAGGAGAATTACGTAAGAATTTTAGAGGTTGCGAAGGGAGAACTAAATCTTGCATGGTCGCTTATGGAATATCGAATAGACGACTACTTACTGAAAGGAAACGTACTGTCCGCCCTGGGGGAGGTTGCATTCAGAAGAGGTTTGCTTTTGCTTTCGCATTATCTTCTTTTCACGAGAAAACTTTTATCTGCAATATGCTGAAGGAAAATATTGATTAAATCACATTTCCTGCTCTACATTTTGAAGGGGAGTCAAACCCTCAGCGTTACTATTTCGAAGCATCGTCCATTTTCGATTCTTGGCTTGGTGAAAACAGTAAGCGAGTAGCGGATATGTATCCATTTCCAGTTAATTTGGTGTAGAGTCTCATTGACAATTATCTTATGTGCTACTGTTTTCATCTATATCAAATGTCACACCTGCGTTCTAATTGATCACATCCTTGCATCAGAATCTAGATATGTGAAACTATTAATCTGCCTGGAGGGTAGCGACGACAGTAAAGCCCATGCACAGGGTTGTAAGGCTTATTTAATATATGATGCTTTACACAAGAAGCTATTATCTGAAATAGATTCGGTGACACGGTTAGCAAATGAGAGAAGAGGATTAAGTTCTGTAACACTAACGGATCCCTTTATTCAGATAAAGAAAGATGAAGCCACACAGCTGCGTAGGAACTTACAAAAACTGGCTCACAAGGCAAGTTCTTATGAGACACATTCTCTATTTGTACTCTTTACAGGACAAGTAAGCTGAATCTTCTGTCTTTCTATTTTTGAAGCTTCAACGTTTGGGTTTAGGCTCATACGTCTCACTACCCCAGGAAAGAACTCGGGTCACTCCAGCTGGTCACAGACGCGCAAGAGAAACAGTCGAAATTAACACAAATCTTGAACTCTGAGAAACATTTTGATAACTAAAAACTGATCAGCCAATTGATTCTCTGAAACTTTCTTTGTTTGGTTAGATGTGGATACGGTTTCGTGGAATCCCAATGTAAGCAATGTCAGATTTTTCACATTTTTAGCCGTGGGAATTCAACTGTCACCCAGAACTTTTAATAAATCTGTCCCTGCATAAATCATTGGTTTATGGAATTTATAATGTGCTGCTTCTTGCTCGGTGGATAATTTTCTCTTTTCTTATTGGAAAAGGGAAAAAACAAAACTCTGAAAATAGAAAATAGATTGTGATTGCAGATCAAAAAACAAATTCAGGGGGATTTTTTATACTCGATAGGAAAATTGTCATCTGAAATGATCAGTGTAACATCTCTATTAAGACTTCATCTCAAAGCAATCACGAAACGTAGGTCTTATTACAGGCCTTAGAAGATGCAGGACACATCACCCTTCTTTTCCATTATCTTTAAGGATATTACCCCTCTTACTCTGTTGTTTGATGTAGCCTGGCTGCTCTTGGCCTTTCGACCTTTGTTGCTGGGTAGGGTGGCTTGCTCAGCTTCTGTTGGAGACTTTATCTAGACAAGCGTGGGTCATGTTGATGGCCTCTAGGCGCTTCATTTTTTAGGCATATGGCTTCATTTATTTAGGGATGATAATTTTACGTTAACCCAGTGGAAACCGACCCAAACCACCCCAAATGAATAGGAATTTCATAGCCCTGATGGAAAATAAATAAATAGCCTCAAAATTATAAAAAAAAATACACTAATATAAACCTACTTATATACTAAATAGTTTTAAATTATAGTTTTCGAGTACAGATTTCGGGTTTGGATTACGATCAAGTTTAAATTATAAATACATGATGGGTACCTCAAACCTAATTAAATCGGGTTCTTGAATAAAAAATTCATAACCATTTAGATTTAGGCCAAGTTTAGATAACTATTTCATGTTCAAGTTTAAATATATATAATATAAAACCTTATCCATGGTATTCATCGCCATACCTACATTTATTGTAATCCTTTGCTACATCACTTTATGGTTGGTTTGATGGTGCATAAAATAAATAAATAAAATTCATAGTCAATTAAAAATATCTAAATGGCTGGAAGCCCAAACATCTTTTAGAGATGATGGTTTCGTATTTTTGGACCTTGATTGAGCATCTCTACCCCGCACACATATTAATATATCTTTGAGTTTTAAAAAGTTAAAGCAAACATTGCACAACAAAGCATATCACTAATTAGTATTCTTAACGCAGACCAAATTCTTTATGTTGAATAAGATCATCTATTTCTGAACTAATGGCACAACAAAGCATTATAATCAATAATAAGTACAAATATTTTCACCAATACAGTGTATTAGCCAACAACTAATTTGCAACTCAACACATCATGAGGTACATATAACTCCAATTATTGTAAGATAAGTTGATATTCAAGTTCAAGTCATTAAAATTCATTTAAGAGATTCACATCAATTCAACAATAACATATTCCTTTCATTTTTCATTCTTTTTTTTTTATATTACTACTACATTTATTGATTTAAGTATTAAAAGGTTCTCTTTTCCAATAAAAAACTTGTTTCATAAAAAAACTCTTGAAAATCATCTTGTCAATCCATTAGACAAGTAAAAAGTCTAGTTACTAGGAGCACTTATCAAATTCATCATTCCATCCGCTTGTTCAATAGATCAAGCCCAATCATTCCACAACCCAAGATTGCAATCCATGGAAAGCCCAATCTAACTTATAGTTTTCATGACATCATCAATTCATAACAACTTCTTATTCCTAGAAGTGGCAATGACTATATTAACTAATGTCATGAAGGGTTTTTAATACGTAAGTGATGATTTAACATTACTATATAAGAATCAAGACAAACTATGTAAATAATCTAAAAAATATTTTTTTATAGAACATTTAAATAGGTTTATACTCAAGAGAAGATTTGATTGTGCAAAATTAGATTATCATTTTAAAACTGCAATAACAAGAGATCCAACTATTGGATCATGTTCAAATTTTTCCATATGATTCAAGAAGTATCTCTGATACTAAAATTATATTGATTGTCAGATTGTCAAATTTTTTAAAGTCAAATTCTGAAGTAAATGCTTATGTTAAGGCCAAATTTGTTATTTTTAGTTATTGTTTTTTGTTGGATTCTATGTTTTAATTTGAATTTTTGTTTAATTTTCTTTGTGTTTTTGAATTCCTAACTATTTCCAAATAGATGTAAAGTTTTTTAATCTATTTAAAGATCTTGTAAAGTTATTGAGAAGATAACCACAATATTTTCTAGAGAATAAAATTATGAATTCATGATTCATATATGCAATTCTCTTTGCTCATTAAATCTTTTATGTTTTTTAGTAGTTTTGTATTGTTGTTATCCTATTTAACTTTATTCTGCATCATTAATATTATTTGATGACATCTTTTTAAAAAAATTATTGGTAAAAGGTTTACAATGGGCAATTCTTTAGACTATATAAAATGCTAGAGATATGATTATGATGTTTTAATCAATCGAGTAATTACCCTTCCATATCCCTCATTCTTAACATTCAACACAAGTCCTATCATTATTTTATGTTTAATCTAAAAAATTAAGACTTTATATTATATTAAAAAATTATTTCAATTCAAATAATTAAATTATTGTGTGAGTTATCAATAATAATTTTATATTACTATGCTATCCCTCTCTTTTTGTTGCTCTTTTACTAGTTTCTTTATTTCATTTTCTTAACTTCAAAAATGGATGATAACAGCAATAAAGGGGGTTTATTCTGATCAAGCTCTCACCCAATTCATGGCGCAAGGATCGCTCTTCTCCAGTTATGGCTACTATGTTGAAGCTGCTAGTTGTTCGAGCAAGCTCGCGAAGCCTGGTTAAGTTTGCTTGCTTCGAGTGTCTTGTCGCTACTTAGGCTTCCTTGTGGCTTTCTTGAATCTATTCTTTTTCAGTACACAACACTACTTACCTGCATTGAATTTAATCCAAGATTTCAATCTTGGGACATAACTCTATAAGAATAATCTTTGTTTATTCAGAATTCAATTAGCCAATGCATTTCTTTTTAAAATAAGCTCCTGCATGTGCTCTATAAATGTGCTCTTATCATCCCTGTCGAATTACCAGTTCCGGAGGATGATCCAATGACTCTTCTACCGAAGGAAGTTGATTTTCTTTTCAAAAATATATTCCAAACTAAGGGGTCGAAAACGAGTTCTGAAAATAGATACGAAGCAGATGAGGTACGTAAATGGCCATTTTACAAGATGGAAACTAAATCATGCGAGCGAGGTGATCAATTCTTGATGTGAAATTGGTGATACAGGCAAGAAATAACAGGAGTCTCTGGATGTGAAGAAGTCTGATCAAAGCAAAGCCTTGAAACAAACCTCTGCAATCCTTCTTCTATATATCGAAATTGCACTCCTTTCTCTCAACGTTGAAGCTAGAGCTGCATGCTTCATAATCTAGCTGAGCATCGACTGCTGGAAATGGAGCGTGGCTATGATAATTCAACGTTATATAAAAATCATCATCGCATCCAAATGTTTGTGCTGTGCCAATTGATTCTGCTTAGTCGTGCCGCTACTGATACGATATGGTTAAGGTAGACGGATGTAGTAGCAATACAACAACGAATCCACGATTTTTTTTTTAAAAAAAAGAACTTCATATTGATAAACAAAAAAAATTAATAATTCTAATTGATCTAATTATTAAAGAATTAATGTAATTTAATAACTTAAACTATAACGTAAAATTTTAATATATAATTTATATAATTATCTAATGTACATAAATCTGTATCTTCTTCATCTTCTTGATAACACGGCTGGCCAGCAATTAAGGATTATCAAGCTAGTGTTCCTGCCTGCTTAAACGTTACTAACAGCCAAAGATTCTTCCCGCCCAGAACCCTCTCTATAACGAATAACCTTCCTTGCCCATCCATCATACTGAGATATCTGCTTTCTTTCTCTCTTCGTTGCTCTTTCAAGAAAATTTGTACTAGTTTCTTTGTTTCATATTCTGCGCTTCAAGCATGGATGGAAATAACAGTGTAAGAGGTTATTCTGATCGAGATCTCACCCGTCGCGTGGAGCTAGGATCACTATTCTTCACTCAAGGCAACTATTCTGATGCTGGTAGTTGCTTCAGGGATGCTCGTGATGCCAGGTAAGGTTTCTTTTCTTTGTGCTTCTCGTTACTCTTGAGGTTTCTTTATGCCTTCCTTTATGAGTTCTTTTATATTTAACCCTTCTTTATTCAGCATTCAAATTCATGGTGAATCTTCTTTAGAATGCGCCATTACCAGCTATAGCCATGGCCTTTCCTTGCTGTGACAAGTTCCAGTTCCGGTAAATGATCCGATGGCTCTTGTACCAAAGGAAGTTGATTACTATGAAGGTTCAGTACTTCCATTTCCTAGTAAAGCTTTCGGGACATATAGAGGTTAGTACTTGCCCTTGAAAATATCATTTAATTCTTACCTTCTCATGATCAATGTATTAAAACACACGCATAAGTGCGCTTGCTTGCTTTAGTAATCCGTTTTTCTGGTTCTAAAATTGATCCAAGTTCATGATCTCTTATTATAGACTCTGGACATCAAGTCTTAGTACTGCTCTCTCTGGTTATAGCGGCCAGCAATCTTTTCAAGTTTTTGTCAGATTTTCATTAGAGAGGTAGATGTAGCAAAAGCCCTCTATGAGTATAAAATTAATGAATTCTGAAGTATCAATTGAATGTAATTTGACAGGAAAGGATGAAGAGTCCTTGCATGTTCCAAACCTATCATAGAATTTTGTTAGAAAGTGCATGATGTCTCATCAGCTTACATTTTGTGGCTATTGAAGTTCAGTTAGGTAGATTTTTCCATTAAAAGAATTAGCACAACTCCTCTGGTTATGTCAAATTTGTCTGGAAAAACCAACTCCTTAGGTTTATGTTCTTGTTCATGATCAAAGGAGTAATGGAGGAGAATTACGTAAGAATTCCAGAGGTTGCAAAGGGAGAACTAAATCTTGCATGCATGGTCGCTTATGGAATATCGAATAGACAACTACTTGCTGAAAGGAAACGTACTGTCTTCCCTGGGGGAGGTTGCATTCAGAAGAGGTTTGCCTTTGCTTTCGCATTATCTTCTTTTTACCCCTGATTTAATCAATATGCTAAAGGAATATATTGATTAAATCACACTTCCTGCTCTACATTTTGAAGGGGAGTCAAATCCTCAGCGTTACTATTTCGAAGCCTCGTCCATTTTCGATACTTGGCTTGGAGAATACAGTAAGCCAGGAGCGGATATGTATCCATTTCCGGTTTGGTGTATAATCTCATTAACAATTACCTTATGTGTTACCATTTCCATCTATCTCAAATGTCCCGCCTGCGTTCTAATTGATCACATCCTTGCATCAGAATCTAGATATGTGAAACTATTAATCTGCCTGGAAGGTAGTGACGAGAGTAAAGCCCTTGCACATGGTTATAAGGCTTATTTAATATACGATGCTCTACACAAGAAGCTATTATCTGAAATAGATTCGGTGACACGGACAGCAAATCAGAGAAGAGGATCAAGTTCTGTAAGACGAACGGATCCCTTTATTCAGCTAAAGAAAGATGCAGCCAACCAGATGCATGATATCATAACGGAGCTGGCAATCAAGGCAAGTTCTTATGAGAGACAAATTCTCTATTTGTATTGGTTACATGACAAGTCAGCTGAATCACTTGTCTTTTCATTTTTGAAGATTCAACAGAAAGGCTCATTCCTCTCACTAGTCCGGGAAATAACTTCGGGCTCTCCTGCTGGTCGCACAGACGCGCAAGAGGAACAGTCGAAATTAACACAAATCTTGAACTCTGAGGAACATATTGATGACTAAAAACTGACCCGCCAATTGATTCTCTGAAACTTGCTTTGTGTGGTTAGATGCGGGTATGGTTTCATAGAATCCCACTGTGAGCAATGGCAGTTCAGCCATGGGATTTCAACTGGTTATGACAATATCGATATAATGCAGACGAGGTACATGGCCATGCTACAAGATGCAAAGTGGAAACTAAATCAGGCGAGATGATCAATTTTGGATGTGAAATTGGTGATACAAACAAGAATGGACAAGAGTCCCTGGATGTGAGAATTTTGATCAAAGCAAAGCCTTGGCACAAACCTCTGGAATCCTTCTATCGAAATTGCACTCGTTTCTCTCAACGTTGAAGCTAGAGCTGCTTTATAATCTAGTTGAGCATCGACTGCTAGAAATGGAAGCATAGCCATGATAATCAATGTTATAAGAAGGAAAAATTATCATCGCCATCCTCTTATTTGGTTTTTATTTCGCTTTGCAACTAGTTTTTCAAAAACTACACCTTGATGTAAAGTAGATTTTAAAATTTAATGAAATGAATATAATGCGATTAGAATGTAATCATTACTATACTGCTCATTTTTTCTTTTCAACCTTACCTTCTCTTCTCTCTCGCGCTCTCTCCGTCACATTTTCTATCAAACACAAATCCAAAAAGAAGAAATCAAAAACAAATCCATCATTTTATACAAAATCAAACAAAATTTTTTCTTATCTGTCACATTCTCTTATTGAAAATGAGATTCCCAAAGGTATAATAGCTCTAAACAATTTGATTTTTTTTGTTCAATCAAAAATTTCTCTCAGGGTGTTTGAACAATAAATTTAGAAACATAAATTGGAATGAACATACAAAGAACCTATTATAGAGGAAATCAGACCACAAAATGCTGTGCATTGCAGAAGTAAAACTTGCATCTTGGCCATCAAGTGTCTATCTTTTTCGCTTTACTAGCGCCCCATATACATCTTCAATAAACCCGGTACTTTCGCTGCGTATTTATTCACATAATTCACCAAGAATTTCTTGTTGCTGATTGTTAGCAACCACCCAATTCTCCTGTCCTCCTCAATCAGCTTCTTGGAAGCCAAAACATCATACTTAGGACAAAGCTTTTAGCAGTTGAATACAAAAGAAACTTGGGATTGACAATTATGGTCTTCTCAAAGCATACCAATACAAGTGGATATTGCTTAAAAGCTCCCATAATCTCCTCTCCACCAATTTAAACCAACAAGTCTAGCATTTATAAAGACAAGAGCTTTGGGTGAACGCCCGGATCCTTAACACCAATGACCGACTAAAATTCATGCAATAATAACCATGAAAAACGCTTGATAGCTGCGAAAATTCTCAATAAAGGAGAGAATCTTACCATCATTTTTCAAAAATACAGGATTTTGATACGATAAGGTAGACGCAGAAGCTAGCCCAAAAAAGCCATTCGCACTCGTGATGAGGAGCAAACAAAATTGGGTTGAAATCCATGTGGGCTTCCCTTACAATCTGCTCTATCAATTTGTTTGCCTTAAAATCTAATCTTGATCTTCTGTGAAACTGAAAGATTAGATTGTAAGGGAAGTCCACTTGGATTTCATGAGCTGATGAGGAGCCATCAGCAGATGATGGTGATGAAAATGTAGAAGCAGCCAGCAGCGGACGACGACGACGAAGGCTTATCGCAAACAAAATAAGTGGAGGAAACTAGAAATAAGCTTTTGAGGTAGCCGTCTTACGAAGGGAACCTCAATTGGGCCAGACTTAAAAATAAGAGGGCTGAGCATAAGATTCCTTTTCAAATCATTTAACCCTCCTTGGATTGACCAGCTGGGTGGATCTGGATATTCCAGCTCAATGCTTCCATGATTTACTTTGAATTTCAACCCTAGATTAAGGAGCTGGGTCACCGGGCTGGTTGCCGGACTGGATTTAATAACGCTGCTTAATGGACCTCCTTGGAAACTAAAATGATTTTTTTCTTCTCATTAATTCATATTATTTTATAAAGATCTTCGTTTTTGTGTTATTTCCTTCGAGATTATTTGTCTGTTCCATCTTTTTCCTTGAGATGTTATGTGGAACTTTCTCTAATTTGGTTTTGTGAAACTTTCCTGAGAATACAGAGGAAAGCTGAAATGCAGATTGATGGAGTCGGAAATATAATTGTTAAAGAGAAGGCTGAGCATCCTGGGTCAGGCCCAGGGCTAGCTGCAGCTCACCAGCAGGCTTGTGGCGAGCTAGGCCCTTTCGGCCTAAGCCCTTTTTTGGCACCTCAGAAATATAATTGTTTCAACATTTTTTTTTTTTTAGTTTACTGGGAAAAATTTACTATTTTAAATGAACTCATAGAGCAATTATTGATAATTACTCGAGAAGTATTATAAATTCTCTTCAAAACTAAAGGTATATTTTATATTTGTTTTTCTTTATAATTTTGGTTTTTTTCCTTCGAGTAATATGAGAAAATAAGAGAGTGCGAGAGCACATACTTTTAACATTTAGCTATAAAAACAATCACAATAAAATAGACAAGTTTTTATTTTTTTTAAATGATATAAATTTATGTAGAATTATTTTAAAAATATATTTATTTTTATATTATTATTTTTGTTCTACAACCAAATACATTTTTATCTTTTTTTTTCTTTTTTTGCCCTATGATGCTATTTAAACACAAACTAACAACCTATTTGGAAGATCAATGTTTGACAAAAAAATTACAATATTTATCTTAAAAAATAACTCTCACCGATATTATAAAAAGTTACCCCCCTTATATTTTTAAAATGCATTTATGATGTTGTATGATAATAAAGTAAAAATTAATTAAGAATAAAATAACCTCAAAATAAATAAATAAAAATTCAAAGTTTAATTTTTATAAAATAAATGTTGAAAGATTAAATTAAAAAAATTAAATTAATAAAAAAAACTCATGATAAAAAAATTAAATTAATAAAAAAAACTCATGACAGCATAGATCAAATAACTAATTGGCACTAATTAAAATTTAATTTTGTTACCATGATGTTAGTGTTGGACAAAATTGTTTAAAATAGAATCAATGGTTAAATATGAAATTTTTAACATGAAATATTAACAAGATTCAAAAAGAATTTAAGATTTTCTTGTAGTTTATTCAACGAAAAATTAAAAAATTATAAATAAATCTTAGTAAATAGGTTTTTTTTCATTATTGATTTCTATAAAAATATATCGTTTTTGTTTGATTTCAATAATTAATATTTATTAAATACGATAAAAGAAGAAGGCATACATGTCATTTTAAAACTATTCGAAAGTTCAAAAATCAAGAAAGGGTTCTAGATAATTAATATACTAATTAACTAAATAATTAGGCACTCATGCATCGAGCTTCAATAAATCATTAGACAACGAGTCACTCAATTCAAAAAGTTGGATAAAAGTAGTTTTCAATACATATAATAAAGAAAGTTCAAATTAG